TCTTAAGATTAGGAAACAGAAAAAAGTCTGAAAGAGCTAGGTCTGGTGAATAAGCCGGGTGTGGCAGGATTTCAAAGCCGCATTGTTCTGCTGTCCAGATTGTTTGTTGTGCTCTGTGTGCAGGGGCGTTGTCATGCCATACGAGGACTCCATTGCGGAGTTTTCCACGCTTTTTTCTCACCAATTCGGACCGCTCTTTGCTTCAGATGGCGCTGCAGTCTATTTTGAAGCTCTCTTTCGTTTTTCCAGAAGAATAGGAATAGCATCTCCTTGCGTGCGCAGATCGACTGCTGTTCAACAACAGTTCGGGTTCGTTCAGTGCGGAGTTTTAGGGTTTTTAAAAATATTTTAATGACCTCTCGCCTTTCCTTGTAAAGTCAAATTAAACGAAGAAAACAATCACCCTTTCCTCAGGAGGAAGTTTTTTTGTCAGCGTAACCATTAAAAAAAACGTTCTTCCGAAATTTATTTTAAAACTGCTAGTTTCACTTTGATATTTTAAACTAAATAGGGTAACCCTGTTCGCAAAGGGTGCGCATTTGCCAGGAGGGCGCCACGGAACTTTGAGGACACTTTTTAAAAAATAGCTCAAAGAGAGAAGTGGCCCCTCTTGTTATGTAGACTCTTTGATGGCACAGCTCCAGCAAAGAAAAACCAAACGTTTTTGTGCTTGGTTTCATTGAACATGCTGAATAGTGACTTATTATTGTCGGATTTTCCCGGAAAATTTGCACGTGTGTGTTCCAAATAAATTGTCTAAAGCCTGGAGAATTTTCATTACTCTATCATGATTCCTTCATACCCAGACCAAAGACTTATTGAACCCCTCTCGTATAATATAACAACCATCATCTCCTTTTCAGGCTGGTGGCAAGCATGGTGTATTACGGTCTGAGCCTGAATGTCGGGGGTCTGTCCGGCAACATATACCTCAACTTTTTCATCTCGGCTGTGGCAGAGTTGGCCTCGTACATCTTCTGTCTTCTTCTGTTGGACGTCACGGGTCGCAAGCCCCTCCAGTGTATCTCCATGCTTGTCGGAGGTGTGGCCTGTATTGCTACCATGGCACCTGTCATCACAGACGCCCCAGGTAAAGGGTAGAGCGCGTACGCTTGCTTTGTTTTTCTGTTTGTGATTGTGATGGATATCCTTGTCTTAATGTATGGTGTACACTGATACTTGTTACTCTTCAGACAATCTATTCAAATAAGACTTCAATGAACTCTGTTTCACAGAAATTGAAAAGGAGAAAAAGGGGTGTGGTTGGATAGCATTTTTCTTTTCTTTTTTTCTTCTTTTTTTGTTGTTGCTTTTCTTTGGTTTTGTTGGTCCAGTTGGTCGGTTGGCTGTTTTACGTTTATTTTCTATTTATTTGAAGAAGGGGGTACTAATATACCCGTATATTCGGGTCGCAAGCCTCGACAGGGTGTCTCCATGTCTGACTCTGAGGTATGGCCTGCATTGTTACCGTGGTCCCTGTTATTACGGAGGCCTGAGGTAAAGGGGAGAGCGCGTAAGCTTGTTCTGTTTGTAGTTGAGATGAATGTTCGCGTAAAAATGAACGGTGGACACCCCCTTCCACCCACCCCCATTTACATAGATAATCTGAGCCCACACCCCGCTCTCCACTATCTCTGGAATACTGAACACCGTCCTGCCCCAAAGCTTCAGTGCAAACTTATAGATTTCCTCTCAAGACGGCCAATATGTCTCCATATGAGTATCTACGAGTACTCACCTCCCATTGGACTGCGTTTGTTCTTGCCCTCAACGCTCAGCGTCCAAGCATGGTCATACCACTCCCTTCCTCTCCCCGCTTGTATATTCGGTTGACGACACTGTTACGAGCTCTTGTTCTACATATTAACCTCTTTGATCAATTACACATGCCCACACTCGCATTCGTCCACCGTGATTAGTCAACAGTTTTTGTATCTTTTCTAACAGAATGGATTACCATGGTTCTGTCAATGGTTGGAAAATTTGGAGCGTCTGCCGCTTTTGCAGTTATCTACGTCTTCTCGGCGGAACTGTTTCCAACTGTGATGAGGAATTCTGGGATGGGGCTCAGCTCTTTCTCCGCTAGGATAGGAGGAGTTGTTGCCCCCTACATCGCTGATCTCGTACGTTTTCTGATTTTCATAATAACTCAAGCATGCCTGTTTTTGTAGTCGTTGTTGTTTGTGTGGTTTGGGGAGGGGGCTTGGCAGGGGGTTCCGATCATAATGTAAATGATTCTACATGTTTCGACAGCTCCATTGAGACAGTGTATGTGTGTGTGTGTGTGTGTGTGTGTGTGTGTGTGTGTGTGTGTGTGTGTGTGTGTGTGTATGTGTGTGTGTGTGTGTGTGTGTGAGAGAGAGAGAGAGAGAGAGAGAGAGAGACAATAAGAGAGAGAGAGACAGAAAGAGATAGAGAGAGAGTATGAAAAAAGAGAGAGAGAGTGAGCGTGCGAGTGCGCGAGGGTATGTGTGTGTGTATGTCTGTGTGTGTGTGTGTGTGAGTGTGCTTGTGTGTGTGTGTGTGTGTGTGAGTGTGTGTGTGTGTGTGTGTGTGTGTGTGTGTGTGTGTGTGTATGTGTATGTATGTATCTACCATGTCACAGACAATGTGTCTGCGTGGAGATCAACAAATCGTTGTTTTATCGAATCTCAGATTGTTAAATACTACCCATTTTGGTATGTTTTAAACAGAAATCAGATTTGACCGCTAAAGTAATAAGTTTGACTTTTCATACGTTTCACGTTACTTTGTTCCATATAGCACTTGTGCAAAAGTTCGTGGTGACTCGTCACTTATCTGGGAGGTCTTTCGCTTCTAAATTTGATTGTAAACGCTGTACGCCACCGGGGCCCCATCAAGACGGTTTTCCTTATCTAAGCCGCGGGCTGTTTGGACTCAGCCTACCAGGGTGGCGTTGGCTGAGTGTGACACACCATCCCAGCAGAAAGATGGGGGTACTCGATAAAGTAACTTCCCCATAATGCACATCAACTCAAATCTATAGCGAGCATCTGTTGAGAGCTCAGACGTTGTAATGCGGACACCAAAGACATTATTTCAAATTTACAGCCAAGTGGGGTTTTATACAATGCACCCGGTACACATAGCGTAAAAATCATGAATGTCCAGAGAAATACGATATGACAAGGTGTGAGCTTCCGGGCATTGAAAATTACCTTTAAAACGACACTGGGTAAAACAGAGTTATTCAATCCATATTTTCGTGAATTTGATCAGTATGTAAGCGTTATTTTACAACTGTACTGAAACATAAAACATATCCTTTCACTAAAGATAAAAATAGGTTGAAGGGCGCAGTTGCAGGGATAGTATGCAATGCTTGGAAATTATTGCCGTTTCACTATCATCGTCACAAAATGTCAAACCTGCAAAAGACATCCACGATCACAGCTCGCCATTCATTTCTTTGCGTGGATGCTCTAAAGAATATATTATCTTGGTCTTTCCCCATCGCCAATTTGCTCAGGGTTCCAACGTAAGTTGCTCTGGGTCTACCCCTGCTTTGTTTGCCTTCAATGTGTCCAGTGAGAGAATGATGTTCAAGGCCTTTATGTCAATTCAAGTGTCCCAAAAATCGCATTTGTCTATTTCTAATTGTTTTTAATTTTTCTTTAGTAGCAAGCGGTCAATGTGGGCTTCTTTAAACACCGCCTCTTTCCGTTCCATAAAATTCTAAACCGTCTTTTAAGAAAGCACATTTCCGTTGCTTCCATTTCATTCTCACTGTCGTTGGTAATTGTACAACATTCACAGCCGTGTAGAAGATTCGACGACACATAGCCGTTTAGAACTCTCGTTTTGGTAGTCATTGAGATGTTCTTATATTTTAAGATTCAGCTCATTTTATTTAGGCTGCCTTTAGCTATTGCGATTCTTTGTTTTATTTTTGTTGTGAATATGGCATCAGATGTAATCAGATGTCTCAAATACTTAAATCGTCGAACTTGTTTGAGTATTCCATCTTTGTGTAAGAGGTCGCAAAGGGGATTGATTCACTGAGTTTTCAGATATTAATATGCATTCTGTTTTCTTCACTTTCAACAATAACCCTCCTCGTTCCCTGTCCGTCACGGCTGTATCTAGAAGCACCTGAAGATCTATTTCTGAATCTGAGATCAAATCTGATTCGTCAGCGTATCTGGTGTTAGTAATATTTTCACCATTCACTATGAGGCCTGCATGTACTTCTTTAATTCTAAGGATTGTTTCACTGTATATTTTAAAGAGGTCTGGTGACATCACATACCCTTGCTTCACTCCTTTTCTTAAGCTGCTATACTTCCTGTACTCTCTCTTAATTCTTACAGTAGAAATACAAATTCCTACTGATTCTTCGATCCTTTCCAGTTATGTCAAACATCTAGCTCTTCCAAATCCAAATTTTTCAATAATACAGAGCTTTCTGCACTTTAATACATTTTTAATTGCATTGTTAGGGTGAACATATTCTTGGTCATACTCTTTTTCTCATTCTCTCCATTTGTACTCACAGAACTTGTTTTGTTAAATGGCTCATAAGATAATTCTATTTATCTCACACACAATTGATCCAGGTGTCTTAGGTGAAGCTATTTTTTAAAATGACTAGATATATATCTTCTGGAATCTCACCACTGCCATAGATACAATTTGAGAGTTGAATTTTGTTGTTATTCTAGTGGCTAATCCTTTTGTTGTGGCAATCATACCAAGTGGAATATTTACTGGCTGTATAGCTTTTCCTTGTTTCATTTTCTTAATTGCAGCTTCTGTGTCTGCTTTCGGAATCGGCGGTCATTTTAATTTTTAAATTACATTTTAGTATCGGCTTTTTACCTCTACTACCTTTGAAACATTTTACGTTCTCTGACTGTCTGTTCAAAGCATCTCCTTCACTTTTTAGAATATTTCTTCTTTTTGTTCTCATGCAGCATGTGTTTGAGCATCATTTTCCCCACTTGCTTCTTTTATTTTGGAATGTATATTTGTTTGCTATTGTGATTTTGATTCTTCTCTATTTGTTCACATCAACCACTTATTCGTGCTTATTTTGCTTCATCATATTTTCACTTTATTTCTTTAATTAAAGCGTTATACTTTACCATGATATAACTTGCAATGCCGTGCCATTAAGCTCTTTATACAAAGAATCTAACGCCTTACCAGGCCCAGAACATCTATTCTGGGTTAGATTCCTCGAAGTGTGGCTATATCGTGGGTTCTATTCTGGTTAGACAGAATTCTTCGGCGACTTTAGTTTATAGGTCTATCGCTGAGAATTCTGATGTTTGGGTTGCTGACAAGTTTTCATAGGCTCTACACCCTTAAACGTTAATGTTTTACGCCTTCATGAAAATACTTGAGATTCGCTTTCATGGACATAATTTAGATTGTTTTGAAAAAGGTTGAAACAGCCTTTTCTGTTAGTGCCAATCCTGATTGAATGGGACGCAACATTCAAATACGGGATTGGAGGCTAAGGGGGCGCATGGATAGCTCAGTTCCAATCATGCAAGATAACGACATGAATGATCTTGACTCGAAAAGAAAACCCAAACCAACGGGGCATTATTGAACGCAGATTCCCATAGTTTTCAAGGCTTTCCACCCTGTTAGCAAAGTTTTATCGGATAAGAAGTCTGTTTTAATTGCAGTTAATTCCCATCACACCCCACTGCTTATCTATTTTCAGGAAATTTTGAGTGCATAAACGTAAATAGTTACAGGTGTACACTTGCAGAAAATTTCAGTTTTTTAATTGAAACTAAACCAGTTACGCTTAGTCAAAATGCTCACTTTCAAATGAATACGGTGTTTGCCAATAGTCACTTGTTGAAATACTTTTTAAAATTTTAATGTATGTGTTTTTAAACCCCTGTCGACACAATTAAGAAGGAGGGCTCCGACCATGTCTGTCAGGGCCAACACGTGTTGAGGGGGGTACAATGCCAAAGCACAACATTTTTTTTAGCCGAGATACTCGAAAACAATCCGTCCCACATTGGGTTCGGACTCAGGTTTTCTGCGTGCCACAGCGAAGTGGTCAACCGTCACATCACAGACTCCGGTGGTGAGATATTAAGGTCCCTCCACAGTTGTATGGTTACTTTGATTTAGTTTAATGCATCTGAAATGTAATTGTTGAGCGTTTTGTCGTTGCACGCAGAAGATGTACTTAAGTCCCAGTCCCACATTGGGGGAAGTTATCTTATGGAACACCTCCATTTGCCCACCTCTATGATGTATCCCTTTTAGCCCAGGTTAGCCCTGGCAGGTAGAGCCAGGGGAGCGCCCTTCCTTAGATATCGAAAGTTAGTCTATAGGGTACGAAGCATTAATTTATTGCCACATCATAATATCTGACGTCGTTTAACACATCTCCCTCAGGGCGACATGGTGGATGGCCACTTTGGCGTTGCTCTACCCCTCATCATATTCGGCGGTGCCAGTGTCCTGGCAGGTCTCCTCGCTCTCCTACTGCCGGAAACACTGGACCGGAAGTTGCCAGACACTGTGGAAGACGCTAAAAACTTTGCCAAGTGAGTTCGTTTTTAAATTTTTTTTTGATAAATACATTTTTCTAAAATGGCGTTCAGCCTGTAAAAAAAACAGTATATAATTCTAATGAGCGCAAGTCACATGGAAAAATGTGATAATGAATGTTTTGGATGTAGATCTATACACATGAGTGCCTGGGATGTTCGTAATGATTACTGAATGTAATTTTTATATTTCTGAAGAAAATTCTTTGACGTCCAACGAGTTATATAAAGGGAAGTAGTGAACATTCAGTCGAAATGCTCATTATCTATCTCTATTTTTGATGGGATCTTATACTCGAAAGTTTCTTTGTTTTTAAGCTTTGGATACTGATGTCTTAATAATAATGTAATTATCAGTACCCTCAACATTCGGAAACCGAGGTACAGCTTGTATTGGTGCATTAAATTTACTGCCTTACTGGAAATTTATTATTTTTGGTTTTCTTGTTGCATTTGAGAAAACGAACACGATTGCTCATATTCTCGGTGAAGGAATGTTTCGAGCATAATGTTTAGCATTATGTCGATGATATGGCGTTTAGGTGAGTGGTCTCTAGAGTGTGTCCTTGAGAAAGACACGATAAACCTAGACAAAAAAAATGGGGTATTGCACAGTAATGACCCGAGCTATAATGTCGTGAGTCTTGGTTTACCTTAATTTTTCTATTTAAGCCATTGTAAAACAAATTTCCCAAGAGGATTAATAAAGAGGAATATTTTTATTCTAAATACCAACCAATATATTTTTCTAGCTCAGAAATGCGGAGTGAAGGTCTTTCTGAAAAGGAAATGCGTGAGGGTAACGGTAGGATCATTGACTGGATCGTCCTACTTTGAACACATTTTTTTTCTCTCCAAAATGCAGTTTTATAAACGAAGATATATGACCAAGATATTGAACGTCAAACGCTATAAATTTTTGACGGACTTTACTGCCGAATCTTAAATTTATTTTACCACTGAAGATATGGGGTAGTATTATTATACCATCAACAAGATTATTTACGTTAAGAGGTTTTGTAGAGAATATTTATTGTGTTTCCTTTGTCCGGCAATTGCAAGTTTTATTTTCAAAGATTCTCTCATCGTGTTCGGTTTTTCATTGCGTGGCTCGATCGTTTCAGACAAAAGAAAGCAAGTGCCTACGTCCTGGACAATATGGCCGAGGAAAAAGACAGCTCCAACGGGAAATACAACCAGGCTTTCACTCCTGATGGATCATACTGAGCTAAAGGAACAAAGATCATTTCATAGATTCACTGCAGTGAGGAAAAACATCATTTGACACAACTATACATAGAAGGCTAATTATATGTATATTATGTCTTTGTCCAAAATTTGCACTTCTAATGTAATCGTACTTTTTATTTGGATGTGTCCGACTGATGTGGTTATGAAACTTAAGTAGAGCATACCTTTTATTTTCTTATTATAATCTTTTAGCGTCACACCTCCCTATCTAATTACTATGTCGTATCGGAAGTTAACTTGACGTTCCTCTTTGAGTGATGTTCTCGTACTTCACTGAATATCTTACCATGCCTCATCCGTGAAGATCGACAACGTGCTCACCTTCCAAATGAATACATCACTTTAATGCGGTGTTAAACTTCAACATCAATGACAACAATAACAGCATCGGATCAGTAACATCAGCAACAACAATAAAAAATGACATCATCATCATCAACGACAACAATAACAGCAATAATAACTGCAACAAAAACAACAACAACAAAAACAACAAGAACATCAATATCAGCAACAACAACAACATCATCATCAACAACAACAACAAAAACAACAACAACAACAACAACAACAACACAAAAACAATAGTAACAACAACGACGACGACAAAGATGACGACGAATACAACTACACCAACAACGAGAAAAGCAGCAATAATAATGCTTCCATCTGTTAATATCTTCTTCTTCTTCTTCTTCTTCTTCTTCTTCTTCTTCTTCTTCTTCTTCTTCTTGCTATATATTGACCTACCGGTACATCTTTCTCGCTGCTTTGTCTAAAAGTAGAGAGATCTTTACAAAGAAATGTTATATGGCATACGTATAAAAGGAAGAATAATGTTTTTGAATTCCTTTACGTTGTAGTATATTTATATATATAATATATATTAATCCATATTGGATAGGCCAGGATGGCATGAACATATTAAACTCCCTTTACATATTATTGTGTAGCTTTCACACAGTTACAAGGTTCTTGGCGTTTTGTTCTTTTAACATTCTTTAACCCATAGAAATGTATGCCTCTAAATGAACACACACTTTCAACAGAATCTCTTTTTAAAAAAAAAATCCCTTAAAAAGACTTACAATGGTATGCCTAAACGAATCCGAAAGTGGATTGCAAGAAGGAAATGCAATACCTTCTCTGTAGACAGTTGTAATCAATTAGCCCGTGGCGTGTGAAACAGAAGCTCCTTTCCGTTAACATAATTTCTCCCTAACAAACTCATTTTTATCTCATTTTTAGCAATACCTAGTTGCATAGCGGGTTCGCCATCTTGCTCTTGCAGAAACAACAGTAGTCTAAAAAACTTTCAACAAGGGCCTGACCAGAGGAACTTGTCTGCCGACAATAGTACAATCTGTAGCTTAAATGAATAGGAATAGCAGGGCTTGAGAATTTTTGAATAAGAATGAAAAGGGTACTTGAAACCTTTTTTTTCATTTTTCTTTAGATTGGGAGTTTAAAACCTTGAAAAATGAACAACTGTAGGAGCAAACAAATTAGAAAGTATGTAAAGAAATCAGAAAGATAAAATAGAAGTAGAATGGATACACCTTGGACAAAAACCAAACAGCAAATTTTACCGACCAAGACTATGGATGAGATGCACAAGGGAAGAGAAAGAAAGGAAGGTTTTGAAGTAGGGGAAGAGAAAGACAGGAAGGTTTTGAAGTAGGGGAAGAGAAAGACAGGAAGGTTTTGAAGTAGGGGAAGAGAAAGACAGGAAGGTTTTGAAATACATGAACTTGAAGGAAGTACATAGCTTTCAACCCTCAGGTGATGGGATACCTGCTGGACACAAGTGGAAACCATAGCCCGGAACAGACGATGGGGAGCTCTTGTTGGTGGTCTATACTCAGGCACAGAGTGAAAAAGATTGATGTTAATGAGAGTTTTAACCAGTTAAAAGTGTAGGGACTTGAGAGGACGAAACGCTTTGTTTCTTTATCAGGACATAACGGGGTAAATCCAGTCTGAGGTCAGATGTGAAGATTTCTGTCATAAAAGATGGAAAGTTCAGAGAGGTTTACCCTCTTTTAAACTCTTCGGTCACCAACGTTTCAATTACGAATCTGATGACTGCGCAATCTATGGTCTTACAGCAATCTTCACTCACACACACACGCACACAAACACACACACACACACACACACACACACACACACACACACACACACACACACACACACAGACATACACACACATATATATATAACATATATATTATATATATATATATATATATATATATGTATATATATTTATTTACATATATATATTTCATTATGTATATATTATTATATATATAATATATATATACATAATGGAATATTATATATATATATATATATATATATATATATATATATATACACTTAATGTGTTACACGTATGTTGATATAATTCTATGTACGTAATTTAACGCGTCCACCGACACAATTTAGATCATTTGGCAGGCGAGTTTCTACCCTGTTCGTCAAGTTTAACTCGGACTGAGAGGGATCCAACGTCCTGGTGGAAAGACACTCGATAACAATTCTCCTCACACGAGGATCGAACACAGGTCTTCTGCTTGCGACAGCGATGCTCCAAATCGGGGGAACCAGCTCAAGTTCATTTCGAACAACCATTCAAATTGTATGTTTCTGTGCATATCTGCGTCGGCGAGTTCTCAATCGTCTCACCTTTTGTCCTTCCACGTCTCCATTGGTATAAGGCACGTCTATTTGTCTTTGGATATCTTCGACCAGAAAGGGCACTAGCCCAAGGTCTCCATCCATTATTAAGACCCCATCCGGTACCCTGACAGTACTTTACCAAGGGATAATAATCGTTGTACTGAAGTTGCATCTTTATAATGACAATGATACACTGAAATGTAATATTAATAATAAACTGGAAAACAAGAAATATTTTTACCAAAAAATTATAACCACTGTTCTGATTACTATTAAAATGACCCAACGATCTAGTGGCGGCGGAAATACTATAGCGCCGCCTGTCAGATGGCATATAAGAACTTGAGGAAGACATGGTGTTTCACCATTAACAATTTCTCAGAGGATGAAAAGAACAAAGTTATTGATTTCATATGAGAAAATAGCTGTCAATATGGTATTGTAGGTCTAGAAGGCAAGGATAAAACAAGTCATCTACAAGGTTATATACACGTAAAGAAAAAAGTAAGATTCACAACCCTGAAAAAAGTATTTATAGCACATAAAAAAGCACATATAGAAGCAGCTAAAGGTAACCACAAACAGAATAAAACGTACTGCTCAAAGGACGGAAACGTATTAAAAGAAGTGGGAGCACCCACAAATACGCCAGTCCGAGGTGTTTATACGAAGGAAACTGACGCTTGTAGTTCAACAGCTACGTTTTCCCATAGAACATAAAATCGCTACCCTATAATTACAGAGTTCTGTCTGCTCATCAGTAGTAGGTGTACCTTGTTTTGAGAAATTTAACGTAAAAGAGTTTTGCGTTTAACTACGCGGTTAAGCTTTTTCGAATGCAATTCTTTAGATGTCTTGGTAACGACTCTGAATAATTTAACGGTTTTGATAGAGCAGGTAGAACATAATATTTGGTTTCTAACCTCATGGTCTCAGTAACTCAAAACGGCTAAAAATGTCAGATAGAATTTTGTAATTCTCAGGTAGTGAATGACCTAGGCTCTGTTCTGGTGTGGTGGAAATCTGTTTTATCGAGCACCTTACTTCGTCTTTCTGCAGGAATGCTGTGCCCCGCTCAGCCCAGCGCTGGCCTTGGCATGCATGGTTAAAGAAACACACCCCCTCAATAGTCTAAATGGTCTCAGTGTGAGATCAAACGTTCTGTCATAAGAATCTAATCTTTACACGAACCATGGGCTTGATCGACGCCACAGTAATAATGTTGACGCTGAACGTAGGCACGATGGTGGGTGGTTGGCGAGTGCTCTGGGGTGGTTCGCTTCTTTCCAATCAAACATCTATCGTCATTTCCTCTCCTCCTTCTTTTTGTGTTCGTTATGTTCTTGCAACCCTTCTATTTTTCGGCCCTTATAAGATAAGATTGTGTGCAAGCGCCGTAAAACTATTACTAAAACTAAGAACTTACGCTATATGTAAGTAGAACTCTAACGACGCTTTTCCAAGAAGTTGAAGAGGTTTGAAAATTAATGTCATCTTGTGGTCGTTTAAAAAAAATGCAATAGCAAGCCCAGCTGGACTAGGCTATGATTGAAGTGCTATTGAGTTTGTGTAATTTGTGAAAGCCATAACTCTGATTTAAAATCACCCTGCCATCTCATTCAAATGCTTTGTTGTATTTTCTCCCCTGACGTATATCGTCTTACTAAAAACTCTATTTGTAGCAAAATGTAACTTTGACGCTATAATTTACTTTTACTGACCCTTCAATTTTTCGAGGATTGTAATTTATTTCTACTCTACTCATACATTGTACTAGTCAAGTAATGTTTTTAAGATTTCTGCTACAGGTCTCATACATTACTTTGTGTAGCCTAAATGGATTTATGGTACTGAACACGAGTGTGACAGTACATTTTGACATTTAAGTCTAGTTTTCAAGATAATCAGGTTTTCATAATTTACAAATAACAGGTAAGGACAACACTGGCAATTACTTTATACTTATTTCACTCATTGTTTCTTGGCTTTCCTCTGGTCTCAAGTTCTGGTACATTTGTTGTAACAAACCAACAATAATCTGCTAACACACTATCAATCCCTTTGCCCTGATGTCGCTTTCCATAGCTACAATGACTTGGTGAACACGTCGCCCAAGTTCTTCAGTCACAGCACAACATTATTCATAAACACCGTCCACATCGTTACATACAACTAGGTGGTCTTTCATTATAAAAAAAGCCGGAAATCCGTGTCATTATTTCTAAAATGTGCTCCCTCTCACTCAATCAGCAAGCAAATTCCATTGCTAGAGCCTTGAACCCATCAATTCAGTTTTGTGTTTTGGCTACTGTAAATCTGTTAGAAGGTTGTTCAATCCATATGGTATTTTTGCTACAAACTTTGAGTGAAAATCAGGTTCATTAAATGCTGAAGCTTCAGTCTATTATACAGGAGTATCTCCTTCCCTTTCTTTCAAATCAGTAAATGTCTCTGGCTCGACAGGATTGATCAAAAATTGCCATGTGGTAGTAGACGTTGGGCAGATGGAATATCTTGATAATTAGCTTTATTTCAATTTATCTTAAGTCCTCTTCCAACGAGTTGCGCAATACAACAGTCATCTGAGTGATTGCTTGGTTCACGCTAAACCATTGGCACTGCAAAGAGCATTGCTTTTCTTTTCCTTTGCAACCACTGGGGAAGGTTTGTGGCACAACATACGTGAGAGAGACCAACTTTTGTCTTCGTCACCAACTTTGCATCTAAAAATAAGATGATAGACCTTTTAAAGTTACGC